GAAGAAATAAAAGTAAATGAAGAAATATTTGAAGAAAAATCAGATTTAGAAGAAACGTCTAGTGATGATGAATAAAAACAAGATTAAAACTAATTTCGAAAAAATTATAAAGATTAAGGACTTAATTTGCAATAAAAAAAATATTTCATTAAGGGCAAAATTGACTTTTACACCAAAAATCCAAATGGGTCACTTGACCCGCCTATTTTGGAAAATCCCCCAAATTTTACGGCCTTTATCACTTACATATAGGGTTTATCCTCATGTTGTGAGTCCGACAACCCTGCGCCACCCTCCGCCTCAAAATCGCCACCAGCATGAATCCTCAGAACAAGAAGAGAAAGAAGCAAAAGCTGAACCCAGAAGCCGAGTTTCGCATCTCACTGGATCGTTGCTCGAAAACCAAAGACCTCTCCGCCGCCATCTCCCTCTACGAGTCCTCCCCCACTCCTACTCTCTCCCTGAACAACCTCAACTCCCTCTTGTATATCTGCTCAAACTCTTTAACCAATTTGGAGACTCGAGACCTCGCAATCGAATTTGGGTTCAAGCTCTTCGACCTCCATAGGAGTAACAATTCCAGTATTTTCAAGCCAAACGAGGCCACACTCACAGCCGTTGCTCGGCTGGCCTCAGCCAAGGGCGATGGGGACTATGCATTTGAGCTTTCGAAGAGTGTAAACAAATATGCGCTTGCGCCGAAGCTCAGGACTTATGGGCCGGCACTTTTCTGCTTTTCGGATAATGGGATGTCGGATAAGGCGTATGAAGTGGAAGAGCATATAAAATCTGTGGGGCTGCAGCTGGAGGAGCCTGAGCTCGCAGCGTTGTTAAAGGTGAGAGCTTTTCGTGTTAGCCTGCTTCATATGCATATTTTTTGTAAAATCATTTTTGTCAATGTAGGATTTTGGGTAGAAGGATTATTGTTTTAAGTAACTTAGTTACTGCATTGGTGTTGTGTAGTTATTGCTTCAAGGGTTTTACCTTTGGTTTACTAGAATTAAAATTGCACTGCGTTTGGCTTGTCATGAAAAGGCTTGGGATTTGTAAATTTGTTCTGGCATTATAGTTTCTATAGAAAGTATTAGATGCAATTTTGCTTAGTTAAATGGAATGGATTATTCAATATAATTTAGCCCATCGATTGTTTAAGTTACATTATGTATTGAATTTGATTTGTTTTCATTATTACTTTTGGGTTCATTTGTCTTTCATCTGATGATGGTGTATATCTTCAATCTCAAGCTAAGTAAGATTAAAAAGATAGAAACTTTTTAATATTCATTAAATTTAAAGAAAAAATTGTAGCAGCGGTCCCTAAACTTTCAATTTTTTTTTGTACACTTTATTCTAACCTTTAGTTTGTGCCGATGAAGGTCCTAAACCTTTGATAAATTAACAGTTGGAGTCCAAATGGATGGAATGACCGTTAGTTGACCAAGAAAGTCAAAATTTGACCAAATTTTAAAGGGTAAAATGACAACTTTATATTTTCATCACATTAAATAAGTTAAACATTAAATAAAACCCCACCCCACCCCACCCCACCCACACAAATCAAAATTGGCCAATCGACTACCGTCGGCCATCATACCATCCCACAAAACCAAAAATCGACACCATCCCCCAACAAAACCAAAAGAGACAAACAAATGAAAAGTGGAAATCACTATGAAACCATAAATCAACACCATCCCCACTCCAAGCAAATCAAAACCAGAAAAGATAAAAAGGCTAAAGTGATGGAGGAACATTCAAAGAAGTTAAACAGAGAAGTGGAAGGATTGGGTGACGCGTTTAAAACAGTAGGCAAAGTGGAGAATAAAAACAGAATTAAATAGCTGAATCCCAACCAAAATTAGTCCCAGTAGATTAGAATACAATTTGGGAACAACTCTGTTAAAGGTGAATTGAGGATGTGAATTAAACTACCCAAAATTGATTTCCCCTATTTTAATGGGGAATGTTAAATAGAATAGCTGAGAAAAATTGTCAATCTTTTTCAGCATCGTATGGGTGGGAGGGCAGTCATACATTGTGGTCGATGGGTTTTGTGGTTTTTATTTGGTTTGGTTCGAAAAGAAATTTTGATGCTTTGGGCAAGAAGCTAGCAAAGAACTTTTGGCGAGAAGCTAACAGTGAAATTGTGCGTACAGTTCACGTGAATTTGCAAAGAACTTTTGATGTAGCATTGTGTTGCTTGATTTGTGGCGATCAAGGTGGCAGTTGGCGGTGGCGGTGGCGGTGGCGACAGGTGGGTGGATTTGGTGGGGAGGGGGAAGGGGTTGGGAAGAAGATGAATAGGGTGTGGAAGATGATAATGTTTTATATATTTTTTAACTTATTTAATGTGAGGAAAATATAAAGTTACCATTTTACCCTTAATAATTTGGTCAAATTTTGACTTTTGTGGTTAACTATCGATCAATTGATGGATTCCATCTATTTGGACCTCAACTGCTAATTTATCAAACGTTTGGGACATTCGTTTGTACAAACTAAATGTTAGGGTAAAGTCTACAAATATATTGAAAGGTTAGGGACTGCTGATTTCCCTTAAAAAAAGAAGTCACAGGACAGCCTTTGAGGCTTGTTACAATAGGGACAAGGTAAAAGGTAGTAGTAGTGTATTTTCAACTCTATAATGTTCTTCCTCTGGTAGTTGAAATTCTCTGGTGATATCAATTATCAATGTTCGATTTTTTATTTTATTTTTCATATGATCTCAGTGGAAGAAAGAGATGAACATGCCTGGTTCTCTAATAATCTGTTGTATATTTTTTTAAGGTGAGTGTGGAGTCGGGAAGGGAGAAGAAGGTTTATGAGTATTTGCACAAGCTGAGAGCAGCAGTAAGGGGTGTTAATGAGTCAACAGCAGAAATTATAGAAAGTTGGTTTAAAGGCGAAAAGGCTGCTATGGCGGGTTTGGTTAACTGGGATGAAGATGAGGTAAAGGAAGCAATTCTGAGGAATGGAGGTGGTTGGCATGGGCTTGGGTGGCTTGGGACAGGTAAGTGGATCATACATAGATCTAGTGTGGCCTCAGATGGAAGGTGCTGTGCGTGTGATCAGCAGTTGACATGTGTTGACATTGATAGAGCCGAGACTGAGAAGTTTGCACAATCAGTTGCTTCTTTAGCAATGGAAAGGGAAGTGCAGTCCAATTTCAAGGAATTTCAGGTTGGAAGAATATTCTTCAATGTTTTCTGTATAATCTGCAAAACTATTATTTTTCAACCTTTCGAAAGTAGTAAAGATGTCTAACTTTTGTATTATTTTACTTATTATTTCGTGTGGCCAATATGATTTGCTCTCAGGAAGATTTTCCATTTTCAAAGACAGTATATCATAAAAACATGATATCTGTTCCAATGTGCTTGATTTCTGATATTCACCAAATACATCTTGAAGGATTGGATACAACAAAATTCTGAATATGAAGCTGTGGTTGATGGAGCAAATATTGGTCTTTACCAGCAAAACTTCGCAGAGGGCGGCTTCAGCGTTTCACAGGTTGTAAATTTTGAATATATTATTTGATGTCTTTACTTTTTACTTGTTTGATTGGTGATTCCAAGACTCATTTATAATCTATTCCCAAATTGCTATAGAGCAGCTTGAGGCAGTCGTTAAAGAACTGTATAATAAGAGCAACAGATGGCCACTAATTATTTTACACAATAAGCGTGTACGAACGCTTCTTGAGAATTCTTCTATAAGAGAACTGGTTCAGGATTGGATAGATAAAAGAATTCTGTATGGTACACCATATGGATCAAATGATGATTGGTAAGCATTTAACTCATGATGATTATGTATCTCTGTCTTTTTTGTACAGATATCTTGGTAAAATTTGATAATACTTTTACCATTGTTTTTGGTATCTTTGTCCTTTTTGTACAGATATCTTGGTAAAATTTGATAATACTTTTTACCATCCTTTTTGGTTTAGTTTCATCCATGCTAAATCTGTTATTCGAGTTCCCTGAATCTTATTCGATCAACCCACTATTTCATCACTTGCTAACACTTTTACATTATTGGTAGTATTTATAATTCAATAAGTGGAACTCCCTTTCTCAGAAGTAGATTCATATGGCATGTCTTGTTATATACATTTTTTAATTTTGCTGCTTTACATTTTTGCCAGATGCTTTTATTAGCTATGGTTATAATAGTTCTTTTCTTTATTTAGGTATTGGCTTTTTGCAGCTGTGAAACTCAAGTGCTTGCTAGTGACAAATGATGAAATGAGAGATCACATTTTTGAGCTCATAGGGAGCAGTTTTTTCCTCAGATGGAAAGAAAGGCACCAGGTAGAATTTTCTTAGTTTTCCTTTTCCTTGTTTCATGGACTAGTTTGTTACTCCTGTTTATAATCCAATGTTGTGATTAAAAAAAGAAGTATCAATACTATTTATTCCTTGAAGGAATTTATTGTAGCAGAACATTTAGCCCCTGTTTGACAACCATTACATGGGGAAAATAGGGTTTTGAGTAGTGATTTTAGGAGAATGTATGGTTAAAAGGCTAGAAATAGTTTTGGGTTTAAGTGTAGAATATTTTGTTGCGTGAATGTGTTGTTGAAAATGAGCATGTAGAAAAAAGAGTTTAAGAATAATGGTTGTCAAACATGGGCTTATTTTTTTATTTGCAAGGCAGGTGTAGTTAGAATTCTTTTGAGATGGTTAGAAATTTTCACCTTTCTAACACGACATCACGTAAAATGAATAAGAAACATAAGATTAGATCTTATGTAAACTACTCATGGAATATAAACTACTCGTGGAATCTTTATGTTGCATGCAACTGCCAAATTACGTAAATTATCCACTTCTTTTCAAAGGTCTTCAGAATACTTAAGAACCTTATGGTAATGATGGCCCTGTGAATGTAGTTGAGCACTTAAAATGCTTACCTCAATCCTTATAAAGCAGTCACACTATCCTCCTATGACAAGGCTACTCAAAATAGTGACGTTCTTGACTCATCCAATCTGTGGTCTACACCTCAGTGATAAGTTTAGGCTTTTCGAAATGGATAGCACCACAAGGGTGGCTTTATTACCACCTGTAAAGGACCTGGGTCAAATCTTGCCGTGCAATATAATTTGGTACTTCAAAATACTGAAATTCATGGTGGTTAGTAGGAGTTATATACAAGTTTTTATAAATCAATCGCTTTATCCCTCCATGACTGGTGGAGGATGGTCATCACACTTCACAGCTCGAGATTAAAAAATAGAAGGTTATATACATAGGTCATATCTAAACCTAAAGCAGAATATTGTATTCCTACAGTACAGCAAAACAAAATTCAATTGCACAATTGTTCTTAGAGAATTTTTGTCAATACTTTCTAGATCATTAGTTACAATAATCGATGGTTCTTGATTGAAATTAAGCTAATGTTCTGAATTGAAATCTTCTTCAGATTGCATTTTCCTTGTCTATAAAGTCCACATCAGTGTCAGCTGTTGGTAACAGAAATATCTATTAGCACAGTGGTGATGCTCACCAACAAATGCATTAAATTAGTAATACGATATTGATATCTTTATATCCACTTAATTTTCAGAATCATAAAAATAATGCCGTTTCCTGAAGTTATTTCATGCACTTGATAGTTGATACAAATGCATTTTCCCATCCTACCATCTCCCATTGATGTAATTGAAAGTAAAATTTTCCATTCTACATCAATATAATCTCTTAGTTATCTATGATTACTTATAAATTATTGCTCTGAAACTAGGTAATTAATATCCTATCGACCACGTGATATCCGCAGTGTGGAAGTTATATCACGCCCAATTAGTTGCATAACTTGAATTTAAAGGCTTTATTTCCTCCAACCATCTTACATAGTGTCAATTGAAAAATTAAGATTTGCCATTTTATATCAATTTAATCCATCATCAATTATACATTATTGCTCCTAAGCCAGATAACATCCCCTAGTTCCTGTTAATTTGGTTTTGATCTGCTATTGAAACTTTAATGTTGGCTAGCTTATGTATTATACGAGTATTTATCAGTTGTCCTTGGTGGGGATCTAGACTGTTCTGTGGTATAGTTATCAAGCCTTGCTACAAAAGTTTCCAGTTTCTAGATATATAGTTTGTAATGCATGCATATTAACTGCTTTCCCCTATTTGACTTTTTGACTCTTTTGTTTGTGTGTTCCAGCCTTGCTCAAATTTTAGATCTCTAAATTGTTTGATTCCATTTATTAATCAAATGCTTTTGAAGTTTTTTCAGTAGTCACTGTGTTAATACCAATCTTCACGTCCGAATCTTGTACGGTGTTTAGAACACAAGTCTCATCCTTAGGAAATAGTGGGTTGAGCTTTCTTGCTTCATCTGTATTAATGTATATTTATTAGAATAATATTTCTTCCCTCTCAGACTTCAAGTACAATGAAGATGTGATAAAGTTAAGGGTCATATGTTGAATATTTGTGTGATGCTGGTAATCTTGCGTTTAACATTATGAAACTTTTCTGATTTTTGCACTAACTCAGGTGGTTTATTTATCTAACAGGTTAAATATACGTTCATAAAAAATAATCTGAAGCTCCTGATGCCACCATCATATTCTGTCGTCATGCAGGTATATTTTTACTTCTCCAATGCTATTCTTCTCCCACTCCTCTTTCTAACTTAGGCGAGAATGTTGCTTTCCTATCTTCACCAATTCTTTTGACAGCAGATAAAACTATGAAAATGAGCCTTTGCAAAGTTGAAATTTGATGTCTCTCCTACTCCAACTTAGGGAATGAACAATTTTGGTTCTTTCCCTCTAAATTTAGCTTCAAAGAGGTTTTATTGTCACCTTTGTTTGTTAGCTCCTCTAGTACTTCTTTTTAAATCTTTTGGGGAGAAGTCCATTTTCATGTTCAGACATATCAAATATGCATCATGAATAATTTGTATCTATGACCTAGGCTTCTCTCGTAAAGATCATTTTCAGAAATTTTATTTGAAGCCTATACCAGTTATTTTTCTATTCTTTTTTACTCAAATTTATAGTCATAAAGGTCCCCATTAAAAGCACCTTGGATATATTAAATAATAGACACATCAACATTTTTTCCCTTTTGAGATCTTTCATCCAAATATGCTTGAAGCATTGCAAAGTTTAGGGCCTGTGGCGAAGCTTTTGATAAAAGTTTTAGCAGATTTGATAAAAGTCTGTTGAAATGTGTGGTTGAAAAGTTGATGAAGTGGGTCCAATGGAATGTGGTTAAAGTTGAAGTTTATCAACAAGGTGTTAATTTCCTCATATTTGTATCAATTATTTGAATTTGTCTTATAAATTCAGCTTTCGAAATGGTAGAACAATATTTGGGTGTTTGAAGTCTTTTAATATGTTCATCTTCTACACTGCAACTGTATTTATTTGCATAAAGTCCTTGTCTCCAAATCATGGTCCATCTACGACTTGAGAGGTACGTTTAGCCCTTGGAAATCTAAAGTCCTCTGTTCTTCAGCAATAGCTTAGGCTCTTTCCTAGTACTCAGAAATACTGTTACAAGCGTGGTCCATATCATAATTGTTACCTGGATCTGTCATACTTAGCTTTTTGCATCTTATTTCTCATGCAAGTTCTATTATTGTTGGTTTGAGGGAAAAAGGAAAGTTCTATTATTGTTTCTGTAGAATACTTGTGTCTTTAGTCATATATTGTCATGGCTTTAAACCCTTGGTCCATGACAAGTGCATATGCTCAAGAGAACAACTCGTGCTTGTTTGTTAAAGCTTTTTTTTGTTAAAAAGCTGGTCAAACTTTTTTTTTTTCACACATTTCATTGGATCCACAAACTTTTATATCCATTTTTTCACCAAACATATCATGGGACCCACAAGATTTTTTCAACTTTTATCTACTTTTAGCAACATCACACAGCCCCTTAATATAATGATATCCAAACAAGTTGCAGCAAAAATCTGAGAAATAATATAGATTGCAAGGTGCATATTTTAGTAGAATGACTTTAGTAAAGAGTCGAGCATCAATTTTTTTCCAGTAATAATTTAGTGATCTATATTCAGTTATAGATGAGAACGTAAACGATCAGCTTAGGAGAAATTTAAAATTAATCATGTAAAAGTTAATACTTTTGTGATTGAAGCTCTACTGCCAATTCTATATCATTTCTGACCCTCATCCTTAATTAATTATTTTTTTTTTCAAACACTGGTTTCAGGAATCTGGGAACGGTTCATGGCATGTGCCTCTATCAGGCGGAGCAGGTGACGAGTCTTTTAGAAGTTGGCTCTGCATCACCCGGCAAGGCATTTGTGAAAATTCTATAATAAGTGCTCAAGTTTCTGGTGCAAAAGAAATTACCTGTCCTTAACCTTCTAGAGCCAGAATTTTGTATGGGGATCATTCAATTTTGAATATTGCTCACAAGTTGAAATCAGAAAGAAACCACATTCATTCTGGTGTATTTATTGAGTTGAAAATCCATCTATAAAAGATTCGAGCAGTCTGTTTTTAATCTGTTTTACTGAGGGTAGAAAGGAAGATCCTGATGATGACAAGGCTGCTAAATGTCAATTAAATAGTTCGTTTTCTAACTATTGTGAACTTTTTATACTGTTGAATATTTTATAATTTGCCTTCCAACATGCTAAGAGCGTGTTTGAGCCTCATTCTTTGTAAAACATGCATTTTGGAATAGTGATTTGATGGAAAATGTGTAGTTAAAAAAAGGGTTTTGAATTTGTGTAATATTATTTTATTGAAGAATGTGTGGTTGAAAATAAGAGAGAAATTTATTTTAAAAATAATGTGCTCCAAATAAGGGGTTAAAACATAAGATAAATAGTACGTTGGTTGAACGAACTAACCTTCAATGGGAGCCTGGTAGCGAATCATGATGTATGATCGGAAACTATCCATCGTGCTGAGCACTTTGACCTTGCCAACGATGACAGGTTTGCCTCCCTTGTCGATCCAGGGGTGCTTGGTGAAGTATTGGTAGCCATATTCGTGAAACATTGTGCATGTCATAACTCATAGGGCTTGTTATAGAAGATCCAACATGGTACATGGTCTCATTTGGTTGATTTGCATGAGTAACCATGGCTACAATCATTGCATTCACCATCATGTCTGCTGGGATCTGCATATATAGTTTTCAGAATAAATACAAATTTCTTTTACTCATTCTAAGGAAAAATCTAGAAATTTTAGTAGTAGAAAACCGACCAAATCAACTATGCTATTGGGATTACCAAGGAAATATGTCAGTCTTCCTAGGACTGTCCGTTGGTCCATTCGGTTCGATTTTGAAGAGAACCAACCGATCCAAAACTTTCGGGTATTTAATAAATGGACCCGTCGGGTCCAAATAAAATTATGGAACCATTCGAGTTCGGTTCTGTTTGGTTCCGTTCAGTTCCATACCATAATTAATTTTTTTAACATTTACAGCAACACTACATAAATACAACGAATGACATTTCATTCGTAACTTTTATAAATTAACGTAACCCAATTCAAAAATATAAATAACTAGCTATCCAATAAAATTAA